TCTGTAGTATGCTTCACCGGCACCTGCAGATTTCTGTTTGGTGCCTGGCACTCAGGTGAGCATTGGTCACCTCTTTAACTTAGTGAGGCATTCTAGGTAAGTCTCTCTTTACTCACATGCTTTCAGCAGGGTAAATGGATAGGTGTTATGATTTGAGAATTACAGTTATGTTTTGTCCACCCCATCCTAATCTATTCATTCAGAAAGAATTTGCGTTTCATGCCTGGCAGAACCTTTCATACTTTTCGACAATTGAGGTTCTCTTAAGGCTTTTCTTTGTCTGTTAGCTGGTTGTGAATGTCGCTGGCTGGGCCAGGATTCAATGTCTATCCCTAATTCTCATGAAGGTGGTGGTGAGCTGCTTTCTTAAGCCATGCAGTCCATGTGGTGTAGGGGCACCCACAGTGGGGGATAAAATCCAGGATTTTGCGCCAGAGACAGTGAAGAAATGGCCAATGTAGTTCCAAGTCAGGATGGTGTGTGGCTTGGAAGGGAGCTTGCAGGTGGTGGTGTTCCATGTCTCTGCTGCCCTTGTCCGTCTGGCTGGTAGTGGCTGTAGGATTTGAAGGTGCTGTTGAAGGCGTCTTGGTGTGTTGCTGTTGTGCATCTTGTAGATGATACACACTGCTGCTATGGAGTGTCCTGGTGGAGGATTGAGTGTTGAAAGTGGTGGATGGGGTGGCAATCAAGTAGGCTGTTTTGTCCTGGATAGTGTTGAGCTGCATGAGTGTTGTTGGAACTGCACTCGTCCAAGCAAATGGAGAGTATTCCATCACACCCCTGACTTGTGCCTTGTGGACGGTAGACAGGTTCTGGGGTGTCAGGAGATGTGTCACTCACTTGTATTCCCAGCTCCTGACCTGATCCTGCATCCACAGTATTTATGTGGATAGTCGAGTTCAGTTTCTGGTCAATGTTGATCTCAAAATGTTGATAGTGGGGGATTCTTGAGTGGTAATGCCATTGTTGTTCAGGCACTGTTGCATTGTGAAAAATCTGTAGTCGATTTGTATGCAGCATAAACAGCAGTGTGGTAGGTGATCTAGTGATGTTGATCGAGGAGGGAAATATTGGCTCAGATACTGCAGGAGAATTGACTTCTTCCTTGTAACGCTGTTTTGGGAGAGACTAATGATACCCCCTCAGCACAGGCAAGGTGATGGAACCTGTGTAACTTTCTTAGTTCAAACTGGCAAGATGCTGGGAGGGGTTTACACTTAAAAAAAAAGCTTTAACCCAAATGGCAACAGAACCAGTTTTATTTTAAAATCCTGAACGCTTTCATAGAGTGAACTATTATTTAGGACTAAATGTGCTTCTGTTAAACACTCTCCACACTAAGATATCTCCAAGATGCAAATATATTGCTCAGGCCCCACCTCATGTCCCATCTGTGCCCCTTAAATTACTTTCTGTAATTCCCTAGCCACAGCCCTTACAAGCTCCCACTGTGCTCCTTTATATTAGAGAGCTATTGCTGAGGGTAGCTACCAACTTAGGAGACCTTGCAAGGTGTAGATATGATCTCCAGAGAGGCCATCCTCTGAAGATGCACCTGCAGAGAAAAAAGAGCGAGAGAAAAACTTTCATTTATAAAGTTCTTTCATACCTTCAATGTCCCAAAATGTTACAGGCAGAACAGTTTTTGAAGTGTGTTCAAAGCTGTACTGTAGGATGCGCAACAGATAGTTTGCAAATGGTAAACTCCTACAAACAGAAGTGGCCAAATAATTGCTTTGTCAGTGGTATTGTTTTAGGAAAATAATATTGGCTCAGGGCATTGGGAGAAGACTCCCTCAGTGAAATGAAGGATCCTTTATGTCCACCTCAGAACAAATGAGCCCTCTTAACATCTCCTCCTCCTCGAACAGTGCATCTTGAGGAGGGCCAGATTGAATTTCATGCTCACATCTTGCAAGTAACTTGAAACCACAGATCCTCTGGCCCCTGAGATCCTGGTGCAGTAGGCACTGTTATTCCTTGAGCAAATAATTATTTGCGGAATCTTTTCTTTCATGAGATGTGGGTGTCACTGGTAAGGCCAGTCTTGCCTATTGATAATCACTATTGATCTGAGTGACTTGTTCGGCCTTTTCACATTGCTGTTGGTCTGGAGTCACATGTAGGCAAGACCAGGTAGGGAGAGCAGATTTCCTTCTCTAACGGACATTAGTGAACAGATAGTTTCATGATAATCATTACTGGCCAATTTCAACTCTACATTTGTTTTTAAATTTAAATTCCACCTGCTGCTGTTGAGAGATCTGAGCTTGTGTCCACAGACTACTCGTGTGGAACCCTGGATTACTCGTTTAGTGACATTATCACATCTCCTCTTGCTTGTGTGCGATTGTAATTAAAGAGATCCTTATCTGATGTGTTCTGAAAAAGCGCACAATTAGATTAAGAGAGTAAATAGACAGCTGTTTGGAGTAGCAACAGATTTCAGGCCTGTAAACTGAATCTAATGTATTGGATATTTTAATAATCTTCAATCTTTCTGTAGCTTTAATATTTTGAATTCAAGACAGGATCCATCTAAATGTATATATCATTTTAAAAATTCCAAATTGATTTTTTGAAAATGAAAAGCTGTAAATCAAAAGAACTGCTATATTAGAATAATCTGATGCCCTTTGTTTGGGGAAAGCTGTCATCTAACTGATTTATAATTTGAGAGTACTCATCACAGTTCAGATATCCTTTTTCCAAGTGTCAAAAGCATTCACAATATTAGCAGAAGCAGTGGGAAGAGAAATTGGCATATTAGGCTGTTTCTTTCTGACTGAGAACCAGAAATTTCAATCTCACGATGGAGCAATAGGACTCAAGTTGACTTCCAAATGTCCCGATTATGTGCACATGTTCCGTGTGAATGTGTCAGTGTATTTGTGCGTGTGTGTGTATATTCTGCATGTATGTGTCAGTGTGTGTCTGCAACTGCTTGTGTCCCTGCATGTGACCACGTGTGTGCATACCTCTGTGTGTATCCATACGTGCATGTCTGTGCGTGTGACCGTTTGTGTATGTTGTGCATCTTGCAGGTTGGTCTGTGCGTGTGTGTAATCAGATGAGTCACTTTTATTGAAAAACTATTGTCTAAGAGACTTGAACATAATTTCCTGCTTCCAGTGACTCGTGATTTGACTTGCTGTTGTCCGCAGCAATGTATTTCTTTTGGCCCCTCTTTCCATCCCTCTGCTCTCCCTCTGCCTCTGGTGTCCCTGATGAGCAGCTTGGTGAGGTCACAGAGAGACAGCTATAAATGGAACAATGTCATAATAATCCCACTTGTCACACATGATGTCATAATTGTATGACAGAGCTAGCTTTGGGATAAGATTTGCTTGATGAAAACCCTTGGGTGACCTACAGTATTCATGGTTAGTACCTTTGGCTTGGCTCTCTGTGTCATTGTTCTTACTCAATCACTGACAATTCTTGGAACAAATGCAGTTCCCCCTGCAGCCCCCTTCCCCTCGGTTGAGTGACTCTTCCTTGAGTCGACCAGAGGCAGCTGGCGTGAGCATGCCATGGGGAAGTGTCCAGTCCTGTCACCTCAGCTGCCATTCCAGCTACTTGCAGCAAAGCGTAGCAGGGAGGGATGGGTATCGGGTGTTCAGGGAGGAGGAGGGGGGGAGACAGCATTTGACTGCGCTCAGCCCACCTCATGAGACCAGATGTTGTTGTGGATTCAGTTGCTTGGAGTAAGCTACATTAGTCGGTGTTGTTCTAAATGGGCCTAAAATATACAGGAAGATTAGAATTTTGTTCTCCATGTAGACTGTGAGCTGAAGGGATAACCAGAACTTTGAAAAGTCAAGAAGGAGTTCTAAATTTTTGTTAGGCAACAAAGACACACAGAGTTAAAATCTAGGTCAAGCATGATCTGAATGACTGACCTCTTTGTTCCCATGAGTTGGTTTGGCTCGCTATCACCAGGAGTGACTGAAAAAAAATTAGCAGTAGTACATTTAAGGAGAAGCTAAACAAACATATGAGTGCGAGAGAAATAGAGGGTTATGCTGAGATGAAAAAAAGGGGTGGGAGGCAAGTCTAGAGAAGCATGAGCCAATCACATCGGATCAGTATAATTGTTGGGAGGTGTGGGTTACAGGGTAGCATCGACAGATTGGACCTACTTCTGTACCAGTGTACCTTCTGTGCCCGGTTCTAAGCCAGATCATACTTGAACTGAGCAACTTTGTGAGGCTATCAGGCATCTGCGGGACCTGTTACAGATGGCGCTAAAGAAACCTTGACCTGGTGGTGACAAACAGATGATACCTTGAGAGGAAAATCTTTAGCATTGTTCCTTGAAGCTCCACCAGCTCCACGCTTCTTCAGAATCTCCTCTTGTAAGATGTAGAAGGTCTGAGGTGTTTTTCAGTCCTGTTCATGAATGACTGTGCAGTACATTGTTAAAACAAGAAAGCCACTATATAAATGTGAGTTGTTACAGATTAGTGCAGTTCTGAAAATTTTAGTTCTGTGATTATCGCTCACTTGCTGTGTTAATGCTCATTTTACCCACACCAAATATCACCTCATCCACCACCTTCCAAATTCACTCCCTCCACCACCAATCCACTGCAGCAAACCAAGGCTTTTCCGACAGCAAATTCCAAAACAGTGACTCCTATCACTGAGATGGATAAGCGCAGCCGATACATGAGAATATGTTCCCCGCAATTTCCCCTCCAAGCCACTTATCATCCTAACTTGGAAATATATCAACTGTTCTTTCACTGTCACTGGGTCAAAATTCTGGAACTCCCTTTTGAATAGCACTGTAGGTGTTTTTACACCACACAGACTACAGGGACTCCAGAAGGTGGATCATAACAATCTTTGCAACGGCTATTAAACATGAGAAACAGTTGCTGAGTTTGTCAGCAAGTGCTCACGTCCTGAAGGAGTGAAGTAAACACAGCTCTATCTTTAGTCAGGCAAGGAAGAGTTTTGAGACGAACATCCAACTCCTTTCTCTTTCTCTTCAGGACCAAAGACACAAAGTCACACTGAAGCGACACCGGTAGCCTTCTTCAGGACGGACTTATCTGGCTTTAGACCATTTTGCAGGTGAGTCGAGTTGATGCTATAGAAGTGAGGGCAAATTAAAGCAATATAGGGGTGACATCAGAACTGAGAGGTTATACTTTAGACCGGGGTTATTCTCTCTGGATATAAGTCTTTAAAGCAATGGATTTTTAATAGCCTTGAGCTGGAGAAGATGTTCCTATTTGTTTTGGGGGTAACGGGGCAAGAATCAGAAATGTAAGGTAGTAATTAATTCTAGAACTTTGGACAAATGTCTTCCAGAGACTGTTGAGAATGTGGAACTCCCTCCCACAATCAGAGGTTGAGGAAAATAGTGTGGATCTCATTAATGCAAAGTGTGATGATACTGTAGCTTTAAAAAGTTATTTTTCTCCATTTTATTTTGGAGAGAGGTTTTAAGGCAAAGGTGGAGAGTACTTTACTGGAACCACCAGAGTAAACAGCTTGCAAGGCCTTGGAGTTGGAACAATAGAAGCAGCCTGAATGGGTGGGGTCAAACTCCCACAGAGCCAGGATGTTTAGCTTTCAGCAGTTACTGTTATGGTCTTGATGAAGTGAAAGGTACTTTTTCCCCTCTCTCAGTTACAGCCAAAAGCTGGGGTTTCTTTGCCTGCTGCAAGGAGTTGCATGTGAGACAATTTGTGTTCTGAATTTGCCTTTTGCTAAGGATGTGTTTATGGAATGTTACTATATTGGGACTGTTACTGTATAGTAGCAAAGCAATCTATTACTCTGTTAAGTTTTCCAATAATTAAGTTATTCCAAGTTCCTCTTTCTGTTGTTGCATTTTAACTAAAGTGTTTGAATAAATTGTGTTTCGATTAATATCGAGTAGGTTGACCTATCGAATTGTATCTGGAACACAGCACTTCACATTTACCTTTGAAATAAGAAAACGTTAGGGTCTAGGCTACCTTCTTAGTGTATTTTGAGGGGGCTGGGGTCTGGTCCATAACACATGTCAATGTAAATACGTTGGAGGTGGTTCAGAGGAGGTTTACTAGTTTGGGACCTGGAATGAACAGGTGGTCTTCTGAGGGAAGGTTGGATAGAATGGGTTCGTTTTCACTATAGCAGATCTTGAATGGCCTTGACAAAATGGACATGGACTCGTGTGGCTGAGTCCAGAGCTAGGGGGTTCACTGTTTTAAAATTAAGGGTCACCCATTTAGGACCGAGATTCTTTTTCCTCTCAGAAGATGTGAAGGCAGTGTCATTAAGTATTTGAATGTAGAGGTAGATAGATTCTTGTCAGGTGGGGGGTTGTTCAAAGCTGGTAAGAATGTGGAAACACAAACAGATCAGCCATAATCTTATTGAATGGTGGTGCAGACTTGAGGGGCTGAATGGCCTATTACTGCTCCTAACTGTTACGTTTACATGAAGGAGAAAGAAACAGATGGATGTGTCGGTTACGTGCGAAAGGAGGTGGGTACAGGCCGATGTGGAGAGGAAATGCAGGTGTCGATGAGTTGGGCTGAATGGCTTGTTTCTGTCCTCTTGTAACTCCTGTCCAATTTGTGAGAGTCATGCTCTCCTCTCTTGATAGTACCACATGCTCGGGGTTGTTGCGTGGTGATACTACTGCCGTTGCCCAGTTGTGCAGTCATGGTGAGCCATAACTGATGCCCAACCCCCTCTATCTTTTCTTGCCGTTTCAGTGGAATATCGGAATCTGTCAAATCTGGGTTTGGAACCATGAGCTCGGTTGCTGTGCTTACGCCGGAGAGCTTTGCTGAGCACCGCAGCGGCTTAGGAGACCAGGAGACCAGAGGTGGGTGTCATCTTACAGCGGACAGCCATCTTTAGCAATACCGTGAGAAAAGCAATGCCCCAGGGAAATGCTTGCCCTCTTTTCGGGAGGGAAATCTGCCGTCCTTGCCTGGCTTGGCCCACGTGGGAATCCAGACTTGCAACAATATAGCTGACTCTTAACTGCCAACTGAAAGGGCTTAGCAAGCCACTCCGTTCAGGGTCAATGAGGGATGGGAAACAAATGCTACCCTTGCTCAGCATACTATGAAAGACTAAAGCTTCTTTGGCCTGGTAATAAAGACACCAAGGCATTAATTTCTTTCTGCTTTGCTTCAGCAGATCCCAAACCACTTTCTCGCCACTGAGGTACTTTAGAAGTGTAGCCACTGTTATAGGAAATGCAGCAGCCAATTTGCACGCTGCAAGCTCCTACCAACAGCAAAATGATAATGACCAGGTCATTTTCTTTCCCAGTGATGCTGTTTCACGGATAAATATTGGCTCCAGGATGGCCCTTTTCCCTTTTTTTGAATGCCCTGCGACTTTTTATCCCAACTTGAGAGGGCACGGGGGGCCTCAGTCATGTGTTATATCTGAAAGACAGTGCCACACTCCCTTCGTACTGTACCTGGAGAATGAGCCTGGATTGAGACTCCTCTGTACAATCTCCTGACTCGGATACAACGTCCCATCACTGCAGGAGGTTCCCAGTTCAATTCCCATCCTGTGCTGAGTTCATGGACCTCACAGGCTGCTGTAGCCACCGTTGGGGAAAGACTGGGTTTGGGTGTTGCGGGGAGGGGTTTGGATGCAGAAGGGTACTGTGCTGGTGTTGTTCCACATCGCTTTCCCATGATCCATGTTGGCGCACACGTGAGTGTGGCTATCAGGTAAGGGCAGATTTATGTCTCGATGGTGATGCCTTCACAGTCTAGCAGCTTTCCAACACACATTGTCTAGGCTCACGCACTTGGAGTGGACCGTTAGCCAGTTAACGGAGGGCTTCTGGCAATTTTCCAGTGGTACCCTTTAACAGCTTCAGACGAGGAGGGGAGAATGTCGGGACCCAGTTAAGAGACCCTCACGAGTGGCCCACCTTGTCTCCGGAAGGGAGGGAGAGACCGTGCCAGTGAAGATGAGAGACCGAGGCCAGCCCACACTGCTCCCTGTGCGCTCCCCCTGGCCACACAGGAACTTTGGCACAACCAGGGGCACCCAAGGCAGGGAAGGATGTGGGATTCCAAGCAGCAGCTGCGGTCCAGCAAGTTCAGTTCTTGACCTCTGTGGTGACCTTAAATGAGGAGGGACCAAAACATTGAGACGTCAAGTGGCTATTGTGAGGTAGGAGCTTTTATTTGCTACGCTAACATTGTGGAGGGAGGGGCAGAGGTAATAGTGCCCCCTACCCCTGTATATACCATCCCCCTTTAAATGTAGTGCTTATTTGTAGGATTCACGTGCGTTGTGTTGTTGTTGTTGCCTATCTGTTTGCAGGTGGAGTACCTGAGGATGAAGCTTACATCCCCACTTACCTGGAGGCTTTCCCCCCTCTCCCTGAGAAGGGAACACCGGGGGACAAGTCTGGTGAGCCCATTGGAGCATGGAGCAAAATCCGACCAATCAAATCCTCAGTAATCACCCAGGTACGTGAATGCTGCCTGTTGTGTGTGCTTTACAAAATTAATCTGGGAGTCAGTTTAAGAAGGCCTTGCACCTCCTGACCACCTATTGTGCTGTCAGGGCCATCCCAAGCCACTTCTTGGCAAACAAACCATTTTCACTTAGTTCATTTGGCTAAGTTATGATGCAGGGTAATGCGAACAGCGTAGGTTCAATTCCCGCACTGACTGAGGTTACTCACCAGGAAGGGCTCTCCTCAATCTCTTCCCTTGCCCAAGGCATGGTGACCCTTCGGTGAAACCACCACCAGTCATCTCTCCCTAATGAGAGAGACCTGTGGCCCAGTAGGACTACTGCAACTTTCTTTACTGTCGTAAACTCGCAGCAAGATCCCACAAAGAATGATTTGTTTATGACTGGATCATCTAGGTTTTTGCACTCAATGTTGGTTGAGTGTTAACTATAGTTCAACACTCTGAGGGGAACTCCCCTGTTGTTCTTTAAAACAGTGCGGCCGTAGGATCTTTTATGTCCACCTGAGAGGACAAATGGGGGTGTCGGTGTAAGGCCTGCATTTGGAGAGCCCCTTTGGAGCAGGCATCGAAGTCCAAATGTCTGACTCAGTGTGTGCATCGCCCATAGCTAACATTTTTTAAGAACAGACAGAGCATCGAAACAGTCCCATCTGAAACTGCGTTTTGCCTACAATCATGGTGATCTACCTCCATGACTTTTCCATAGCGTCAGCTGAATCGGCAGCCACTTTCCGAGGCATTCCTCAAGTTCAGAGGGGCTGCCCTACTTTTATCCTGCTGCTCGGCCATCATTGGTTCCCAGTATCCCAATGCCTCCAATTTAAAATTCTCAACCTCGGGTTTAGCTCACTCCAGACTCCGTCTCTCCCCATATCTGTAACCTTCCACGGCCTTACAACTTGCCAAGCATCTTTCAACAACACTTTCTGAGCCCTTGACCCCTACCAACCAGAAAGACAAGGATAGCAGATGCACAGGAACAGCATGGTCTGCAAGCTTATGTCGTGTGTCCCCTCCCCCACCCCCTCCCCTCAAGCCACACACTGTCCTGGACTGTCTCACCATTGCTGGGTCAAAATCCAACTTCCTCTTTAACAACGTTATGACTGTACTTAATCCCGTGGATTGCAATGATTTTAAAAAAGAGCAGTTACGGATAGACAATAAAGTCTAGCCAACAATGTCGAATGAAACAGTTGAAAGGAATGCCCCCCAATACCAATATATCCATTGCTTTAAGCATGGCCTCTTGTTTGTTGTTCCAAGCCTGTCTCTCCTTTCATGTCACCGTCAACAGAGACCTTCAGCAGTCTTGGTACAGTGCGTTAGAATTTCCTTCCTAAGTAATCCTCCTGTCTTTCCAATGTCTGTCATTTAAATATCCCTTCTTTAAGATGGATTTTGGATAAAGGCATTTGGAGACATAAATGCAAGCTATTGCAAGATTCCAGCTTTAATTGTCACTTTGTACTGGTGTCACAAAGTCCTCAGAGCCTGTGGACTGTGAAAGGGGTTGGAGCAAAAATCAGTCAGGGTCCCTGCTCCTGACAGCTATCTAGTGACCTTCTGGGAGCAAGCATGTCTATAGTTTAAGAAGGGTTGTTCAGAATAAGCCATGAAAGAAAAGTGACCCCAAACCTATTGAAATTGTTGGGTGCATAGAATTAGATTATTATACACAGTTGTTCCCACCCTACTATGGGGAGGATATCAAACCATGGACACGGTATGGAAGAAGAATATGCAGATAATGCTGCTGATGAGTTATGAATTGCAACTCAGAGAGGTGGAGATCTTATCATTATCATTAAAACAGAGCAGGATTTTAAAAATCCATTCAGAGGATCTGGACATTGGTGGCTAAGCCAGCAATTATTGCTCATCTCTAATTGCCCTTCTTGATTTGTCTTTTCAAGCCACAGCAGTTCATTTGGCGTAGGGCCGCCCACGGTGCTGTTAGGAGAGAGTTCTCGGGTTTTGATTCAGGAGCAATGAAGTTTAAAAGATGTATTCAGAGGGAATAACACAATAACACAACTTTTCTACCAGTGAAAAGTTTAATAACGAGGTGATGTAAATTGAATGTAATTGTTGAAAGGACAAAGGAAGTGTCATACATAATGATGGCGTTTGAGGGAGATGGTGGTGTCATAGAAATGTCATTGGACTAGTAATCCAGCGCCCGAACTAATAGCCCTGGGACATGGATTCCGATCTCACCATTTTCTCCTACCATGTATCCCCATGGTGCTTCATGTTTATTTTCCTCAAGTGCCATTTTCAATTTTCTTTTGAAATTGTTCACCATCTCTGCACCATCCTAGTGACAGCAAGTTCCAGGTCATTACAGTTCTTTGCTCTCCCTCACATTCCCTGGCCTTGCTTACCCAAAACCTTAAATGTGTTCCTCAGTCCTGTACCATCAGCTAATGGGAAGAGGTTTCATTTTGTCAACCTTAATGAAAGCTGTTATAATTTTGTACGTCTCTGTCAGATCTTCAACCCTCCCCGCAAAGACCTCTTTGTTCAGAGGAGAATGATGCAAGTTTCTGACACCTTCCCTCGTACCTATAATCTCTCACTTCAGGAACTGTTGAGAACCTAGAGAAAGGTTCACTCAGCTGATTCATGGGACGAAGAGTTTTCTTCCTCATTTAGAACGAGGGGCACGGAAAGTTTTAATAGATGAGGGATTCAAGGGTTATGCGAGACAGGCAGGAAAGAGGAGTGAAGGCCATACTCAGATTTGCCATGATTTTTGAATGACATGGGAGCCAAATGTTCAATATGTTCTCAACATAAATATAGTCCAGAATAATTTTCAAGAGGGAAGTGGAGAAACAGCACTGGGAATGGCTCATTGAACTTTCCTAAGAGGACGACGGTTCAGAGGGCCGGCACGAGGTCAGATGGCTTCGACCTGTGCTGTCAAAGTCTTCATTTGTAATCACATTGGTTATAGAAAGGGAAACTATGCAAATCAGGGCTGCAGCATTGAAAGCCTCTGTTCAGTGCTGTGCTCACAGTGGGATGCAGAGCTACACATTGTTAGGGCCCAGTGCTTCCCAGTTTTAAATTGGTTTGAAAACAGTAGGATGAATTTTAAGTAAGTTTTTTTTTAAGTTTCAGTTATGAACTGATTTTTTTGTTCACTCCAGGAATTGAGCCAGACTTAAGAATAACGGGACAGAGGTAGACAAAAAAATACCATCTGTACTTCCTTGGTTTTTACTTTTTGATTCTCATGTTAGAATTACCAAAATGTTGTAAAAACTGCTGTGTTTGAGGGGATAGTCAATAATTTGATTTCTAGGCATTGACATTTTCAGGAAATAACTCAAATATTGTTAAATTTATGTTCCATTTTACCTTCAGAAGTTAATTTTGAATTTCTCTCTGTTAATTAAAAGTAAAGTTGCAATTGTAAAGCTTTAGTAAAACTGTTTTCACTGGGAGGTGACCAAATGTTATGATCCTTGCAGTGGCTGATTCCTTTTAAATAAAAAAGAGGTCCTGTTCCCAGTGGCCAGCTTGAAGGAACATTTTAAGCAGGAAAATTTCCTTGTTCAAGCTTTAATGTAATTGACAATCCTCCTGCACGCTTACGTTTTACTCTGTTCCGCAATTTGGCCCGCTTCTCCTGAAGCCAGTTCAAAGTGATTCCTTGCTTCTGATGGCATGCTTCCCTGAGCAATCTGCAATCTCTGAATTGTTTTTTATGGCCAGGCTTACCCTCTCTGTAGCCAAAGTGAGGCGAATCTTCCAGTCTATGCTACGTGCTCACAAACACGGAATCTTCAGTTTAAACACGAGCTCCCACCTGTACTTTTGCATCATGAACCAAAGAGGCTTGCTGTCTCTAAATCTGAATTCTCTCTCTCTCTTTCTTGGATTCTAGCAAACTGCAATTGTCTGTAACATTTAATAATATTTTATGGACACATTCTGTATACGGTCCTAAAGTAACTTCCCATGGACATCCAACTTCACCCCCCCACCAAAAAAAAAGTCCACCGGCACAGCGGATGACACCAAGATTGGTGGTATAGAGGACAGCGAAGAAGGTTATCTGGGGATGCAGTGTGATCTTGATCAACTGGGCCAGTGGGCTGAGGAGTGGCAGATGGAGTTTTAGATAAATGTAAGGAATTGCATTTTGGTAAGGCAAACCAGGGCAGGACTTGCACAGTCAATGATAGGGCCCTGAGGAGTGTTATAGAGCAAAGAGATCTATGGCTACAGGTTCATAGTTTCTTGAAAGTAGAGTCACAGGTAGACAGGGTGGTGAAGAAGGATTTCAGCATGCTTGCTTTCATCGGTCAGAGCATTGAGTACAGGAGTTGGGATGTCTTGTTGCAACTGTACAAGATGTTGGTGAGGCCACATTTGGAGTACTGCATGCAGTTCTGGTCACCCTACTATAGAAAGGACATTATGAAACTAGAAAGAGTGCAATTTACTAGGATGCTTCCTGGAGTGGAAGATTTGAGATATAATGAGAGATTGCATAGGCTGGGACTTTTTTGCCTGGAGCATAGGGCACTGAAGGCTGACCTTATAGAGGTCTGTAAAATCATGAGAGGCATAGATAACGTAGATAGCCAACAGCTTTTTCCCACAGTAAAGGAATCTAAAACTAGAGGGGATAGGTTTGAGGTGAGAGGGGAGAGATACAAAAGGGTCCAGAGGGGCAATTTGTTTCACACAGAGGGTGGTAAGTGTCTGGAATGGGCTGCTAGACATAGTGGTGAATGTGAGTACAATTTTGTCATTTAAGAAACATTAGACAGGGACATAGGTAGGATGGATATGTACCAAACACAGGCAAATGGAACTAGTTTTGAACTGTGAAAACTGGGTGGCATGGGCAAGTTGGGCCAAAGGGCCTGTTTTCATGCTGTAGACCTCTATGGCTATAACTTGAATTCTGTGAGCCTTGCGTTCGAATAGAAATGCTGATTACCTGATCTAATTGGATAGCTCTTTTCAAGAGCTAGCATTGGTAGATTGCAAAATGGCTTGAATGGCTGTAGGTAATTTAATGTGATAAGTAAGTCAACTGTAAAACCGTAACAAAGTGGAGAGAATTACTAAGTGTAACTTATGTTAATTGTCAGTCCAATTTACTGGCACCGCATACTTGAGTAGAGCTGAAACATATAGACAAAAGATTTTGCCAAAGGTTTTTTTTGTCTTGCACTAATCTGGGTATTTGCAAGGAAACTGATGTAAGGGGGAAGCACAGCATTTTATGAGAAACAAGTTCTGATTGGTTGGCAAGTAGACTCTGAGAGTTGCCTTGGAGAATGCAATGATTTGATAATGACTGAGTCAACGACAAATCTTTCTATAAATTTAAACCAGACGGGTTTACTCTGGTCAAGGCATTGCTTCCTCGCTATCTTCCCGCCCCGCAAAATCTCTCTCCTCTCTAAATAGTGAGGACGGTAGCCATACACTGCAGAACAATGACAAAGTGAACTCAACACAGAAAAGTGAGGTAATGCAGTCGGAGAGGGCTAACGAGGCAAAGAATTACACTGTGAATAGTAGGACCCTGGAGAGAAATGAAGGTAGGAGGGCCCTTGGTGCGCTTATCCACAGATCCGGGTGGCCACAGTGGCTCGGTGGTTAGCACTGCTGCCTCACAGCATCAGGGACCCGCATTAGATTCCAGCTTCAGGCGACTGAGTGGAGTTTGCACTTTCTCCCTGTGTCTGCATGGATTTCCTCTGGGTGCTCCGGTTTCCTTCCACAGCCTGAAGATGTGCAGGTTAGGTGGATTGGCCATGCTAAAATGTCCCGTAGTGGCCAGAGCCATGTGTAAGTTAAGTGGATTCGCCATGGGAAATGCAGGGTTGCATGAATAGGTAAGGTGTTGGACTGGGCGGGATGGTCTTTGGAGGGTCACTGTGGACTCGAAGGGCCGAATGGCCTGCTTCCACCATGTAGAGATTCTAATTCCAGTTCTAGATTGCTGAAAATAGTAGGGCATGTAATAAGGTGATTGAGAAGGCATATGGAATTCCTGCCTTTATTGACTGAGGCACAGAATATAAGAGCAAGGAAGAATTGCATAACATGCTGATTAGGCAACAGATATATTGCTGCATGCAATAGTGGTCACCACAATATAGGAAGGATTTGATTTCGCTAGAGGAGATTTTACAATGTACTATGTGGGCTGAAGGCTCTGAGGAAAGATTGGATCCGCTAGAGTTATTCTCCTTGGAGCAGTCAAGGTTGAGATAGGACCTGGTAGAGATGTATAAGATTATGAGGAGCATAGGTATGGTGTATGAGGGCACTTTTTCCGTTCTAAAAGGGTCCGTGCTGGCGGCATAGGTTTAAGATAAGAGATAGAAAATTAATAAGAGAGGAGAATTTTTTTTTCATTCAGGTGTTGGGAGTCTGGAACTCACTGCCTGAAAGGGTGGGTAAAGTCAGAAGCCACACTACACCAGGTTATAGTGCAACAGGCTTTTGAATTCACGAGCTTTTGGAGCGCAGCACCTCCTTCGTCAGGTGGAGTGAAAGGGTGGGTGAAACAGAACCTCTTGTAAATTTAATCATTATTCATATAGTCACTTGTGCTGCCACACTCTCCAGGGCTATAGGCCAAAAGCTGAAAAATAGAGGTTGGTGTAGTGAGGTCTTTAAGCAGTGTAGACACAGAGTGCCTCCTTTGTGTAAATGAGATCAATAAAGGTTTTGCATCCAGTACATGTTTGTCTCACAAAGGGTCACATGTCACACATCTCTGTTTGTTACAGGGCAAAAGCGTGTGGGATGAAATAACAGGCAATGAATTGCAATCTAGGAGCTAGTTTAACAGGCACCAGCTGGAACTCAGCAATATACAAGTTATTTTCAAAGGGCCGAATGGCCTATTCCAGTCCCTGAGCCTTGCACAGACTGTTAAGTTGTTGTTGCCAGTTTTGCTTAGCGCCCTTTAAAAGTCACGCTGACAGCTGAATGTCAGACAGAGGACCTGGCAGATCCTCCAGCAAAGACTAAGGCACAACGTGGATGCTGATTGATGGGCGGATCTGAGAAAATTATGAACAGTTGGGCGGCGTGGTGGCTCAGTGGGTAGCATTGCTGCCTCACAGCGCCAGGGACCCGGGTTCGATTCCACACTTGGGCGACTGTTTGTGTGGAGTTTGCACATTCTCCCCGAGTCTGCGTGGGTTTCCTCTGGGTGCTCCGGTTTCCTCCTGCAGCCCAAAGATGTGCAGGTTAGGGTGGATTGGCCACACTAAATTGCCCATAGTGTCCAGGGATGTGCAGGCTAGCTGGGTTAGCTATGGGGATTGCAGGGTTATTGGGAAAGAGGAGGGTGATGGATCCGGGTGAGATGCTGTTGAGAGGGTGAGTGTGGATGCTGTGGGCCGAGTGGCCTGCTTCCACACTGTACGGATTTTATGATGTTGGTGAGATAGAAGTAACTCCTTCAGTCTGAGATCTAAGACTGACACATCCTGTGTGACCACTGACTTGGCTTAAGTCTCCCAAAAAGAAAAAAAAACCTTCCAGTGATAAACAGGAAAACCTGTTTATTGTTGACGTCAGTGCCGATAGTGACTCATTTCCCCTGACCATTTGTGCTTTGGACGTTTATTTTTGGTGACTGTCAGGGAGAAGACACCAGGTGATGAGGATTTGTTTCCTTTAAGGCGTCAGCTATAGAATATTGTTTTCATTTGCTCACAGCACGTGAGAGTCACCAGCTGGACCAGCATTTACTACCCATCCTTGATCTCCCTTGACAAGGTGCTGGTGAGCCACTTGAACCGCCTGCAGTCCATGTGTTATAGATGGTCCCAGTGACAGAGAAGGAATGTCCATATATCTCCCAATTAGGGTGGCTTGGAGAGGAACTTGCAGAATTGGTGTTCACATCTACCTTAGCTGCAAAAGATGTGTGAACTAGTTTGGCACTGTAGGTTTCTTGTGCTTGGGGTGAGAGTTGCTATTGACCACAAATTTGTTGTAAGATTTAATTCCCAGGCTGTGGGCATTGCTGGCAAGGCCAGTATTTATTATCCTTCCCAGTTGCTCAGTCGCATCCTGTGGATTAGTAGTCTAACACATAGTCAATAGACAGGAGTGACAGTTTTTCTTGGTGTCCCCTCAGGTGTTTCACGTCCCTCTGGAGGAGCGCAGGTACAAGGACAACAGTCAGTTTGGCGAAGGTGAGGAGGCGAAGGTGTGCTTGGATATCATGCAGAAGACGGGAGCCCATATCGAGCTCTCTCTGGCCAAAGATCAAGGCCTCTCCATTATGGTGACCGGCAAACTCGACTCTGTCATGAAAGCAAGGAAGGAAATCGTGGCTCGGCTTCAGACCCAGGTCGGTCGTCAGGATTAGCACATCATTGTCACAGTGGTCGATGGGAGGATGTGTCTATCACCCTGTTTTCATTCCCCTCCACTTGGTGATCAGTTGAGAACCTTCTGCCTTGTAATTGTTTCCATAAACTCCACAATTTTTTCCGTGTTGAAGCATCATGCATTAATTAATCAGGGTGTTTAGTGATTGGAAGTCCACAGTTGCCAAAGTCCCAGAGGACCATAGGCTGCTCTCTCATTACAGAGATAATGTGTTTAACTTGAGGGTCACCGCGCCTCAGGCAAGGGGCAAGGTTGAGAAGCTGGGGACTTCATGTGACCTTAAGCAATACGGGAATTGAACCCACACCATTGGCATCACTCTGCATTGCAAACTAGCCCTCCAGACACTAAGACAACTCAGTAGAGAAAGGCTGTTTCCTGTGGTGGATAGGGTGGGATTCTAGACCAGGAGGCATAGCCATAAAGTTAGAGGCAGGTCATTCAGAGGTGATAGCAGGAAATGCTGAAAAGAGAATACAAATCTGAAGCACTCATGGTCCAAAAACTGTTGAAGCTGAGGTCAGTTGGAACTTTTGAAACTGATTCAGAGACAGTAGGAACTGCAGATGCTGGAGAATCTGAGATAACACGGTGTGGAGCTGGATGAACACGGCAGGCCAAGCAGCATCAGAGGAGCAGGAAGGCTGA